GCGTATTTTGCGGTTGGATATGGGCCTACACCCATAAAAAATTGTTTTGGCACAAGAATTGAAGCCATCCGACCATTTTATCCGTCGTGAATTTGCCGATTATGCACTGGAAATGATGGAAGTAAAATCATTTTCTCAGATGAGGCCCATTTCTGGCTCAATGGATTTGTTAATAAACAAAATTTTCACTATTGGAGTGAGTCAAATCCACGTGTGGTTCATGAATCACCATTGCATCCGCAAAAAATAACAGTTTGGTGCGGTTTATGGTACGATGGAATCATTGGTCCGTACTTCTTTGAAAGTGATGAAGGAAACCCTGTTACTGTGAATGGCGAGCGCTATAACTCAATGTTAACCGAATTTTTTTTTTCCGGAATTTGATGATATTGATGCAGACGACCTTATTTTCAACAAGACGGTGCACCACCTCACATTACTCGAGTGAACATGGAATTATTGAGTGGAAAGTTTGGTGAGTCGTTAATTTCGAGAAATGGACCGATCAGTTGGCCACCAAGATCGTGTGATTTAACACCTTTAGACTATTTTCTTTGGGGTTACGTTAAATCTAAAGTATACAGCAATAATCCAGCTACAATTCGTGACCTGAAAACCAACATTCGACTAGCCATAGTCGACATACCGGCCGAAAGGGTGCACCGCGTCATCGAAAATTGACCGTCTGCAAAAAGAGCCGCGGCGGTCATTTGGCCGATATATTATTTAAAACATAAATTGCATAAAATTATCTATCAAATAAATCAATCGGAAGCATTTTTCATAAGAAATAGTGTGTTTTATTCAATTTTTAAACCAGAACGTTCTTATTGGTAGACCCCATATATTAGTTAAATAGGTTGTTTAGGTGAATACAACTTACACGTGTATAGACTCAACGATGTATATATCGTAGAGTGTTTCTAGAGGAGATTTGTACGCCTTAGGAGCGTCTATCTCAAATCCGGTTTTAACTAGTCCACAAAGTAATTTCTTTATGCTAATTCCAAAATTAATGAATGATTTTCAAAGAAGTGCCAGAAAAGATCGGCAATCAAATTAAAACTTAACTTGGTTTTCTACTGCCTTATATATATCTATTACATTTTGTGTTTCCAATGCCATGCCACAAATCTACCGGCAGAAAAACTTAAACTTCGACCCTTATTATAGACTAAAATAAGAAAATTAAAATACCTTACAACTTTTAAAATGTGTTAAAAGTTTCTCAAACTTAAATTTTCAATGGTCAGCCCATGCAACGACATCGCCAGACAAGCAATATAAACCATAGACATCGCATATCCAAAAATTCTACCTTATAATTTAGCATTTTTTCCCAGGATAACTGAGAATACTATTGAACTTTTACCGTCACGTGTCTTGTCGGTGTCTATGCACTACTACTATATAGAAATTTGTAAGATTTTTTACTATAAACTATTAAGTAAAAGAAAGCGGTGCCTGCCCCAACAATAGGGAACATGCATGTATTTTTTTATTTTTTTTAACGATTCTACTAGTTATTACATTACCAAAAATAAATATAACATATCCGAAATATAAACCGTTAAGCAAAAAAAATATATTGAAATCACTATCATTTTGGGGCAATTTGAACACGTCCATTTTAGCGCGCTTTTTTCTGTGACGTCAGATTACACTTTCAGACGAATTCGATGTCAACAACGGAGTGAAGTTCACAAAGTTTCTAAAAGTTCAAAAAGTGAGTGATAAAAATTAACTTATTACCATGGAAAGCCAATAAAAATTTATTATAAATATTGTGCCGTTCCTTTGTGCCCAAATAATATCAAAACTGCACCTGACAAAGTATATTCAGTCATTGTGTTGAGTCTTTCTACACGGGAATTTAATAATTTAACACTGAAAACGTATTAGTTATTAACTTAAAATGAAACAAATAATCACCAGAAATCAAAAATTACAAATACACACAACTTGTTGACACTCTTGACAGTGTAGGTTGACGTCACGTTTTATTCAACCAATTGCGTTGCGTTTTAGAAATTTGCGAGGGAATCTTAAAAAAGCCAATTTTTGATGATTAAATTTCACTATTAAATCATAATAAATTTCAAAAATAATTGTATGGGTATCTTTTTTTAGCAATAAACATTACAAATAAAAATATTTTGTCCATTTTGGTGTCACGTGCATATTCCCTATTGTGGCTATAGTCATGTAGGCTATATAACTGTATATTACCTTAGTTTTGTTATACCAAAATTATTAGTACAGTAGGTAACAGTGTTCTTAAAGACAAGTAATAGATATACTCTTTTTATGTAGTAATCTGTAGAAAGTAGGTACTTTAATTAATTACTTAGGATATCTGCTTGCTTAATACAATTACCAGTTTTCTAGCTCTTAGTATGATTACAAAAGCTTGCATTTCGAGGTTGTCGGACACCGTAACCCGCTAAATAATATACTGTTTTTGTTCATTTCATGCTTCTTAAAGGAACTTGATTTTATGCTTTAACCCGTTAAGGTTTTCATTTAATCAATACTGCTACTTAAATACTTAATAAAGCATGCAATTGATTTTATTTAGTCATTCAATTAATATATTACCTTGATGTAGGAATCTATGTCTGTCTCCATCAAATAATCATTTCTATAGATGTCAAGAATCATAGAAATCATACTTTTAAATGTTCACAAAAATCAAATCAAAATATTGTGTTATTCTAAACAATCTTTGAAGCGGTTTGTACAAGGTGCATAATTTTTCGAGTTTTTGAAGCGTACATAAATAAACAAAACATTTGTGTATATAAAGATAGATTACTACAATTTGTTTTGTAGATTGTACAACGTAAACGTTTATTTATTTCTTCTTACGTACACAATATAAACATTTATAAAAAATACATTAAGGAATAGTGGGCACAGAGGCGAGCTTAACCCATAATTGAGTTCTCTTCCAGGAAACCTAAGAGTGAAGACAGGGTATCACAACAAGAGAGAGTCGTGTGTACAGAGTAAATTTACGAAAATATACAGAAATAGAATATACAACTGAATATATATACAGAAATAGAAATATAAACGAAATAACCGAATGTCATGTAAATAAACTATAATATAACATAAGTTTATACATCACATTAATAACCATAAGTAACACTCAATATCTAATACCTTCATACGTTCATTGTGTATAATCTTTTATTTTTATATTGTGTATAACTAAGAAACCTTACTTGGTAAGTACATTAAAAGAGTACGGCTATACTGATCTGACAATGATTCATTTTTTTACGCTAATAATACTCCGAATAGTTTTTAATGTCAAACATAGAAAAAAAAATACTTAGAAAATCGGCAAATTAATATAAAACTTAATGTTTCTTTGTATGTAATTAAATCTAATTATTTGAAATTTTGACAGCACATTATGTGTCGGGTCAGCTGGTCTAATAAAGGACGTATCGATAGCAGTAATATTTTTGAGTTTAGTGTAATGACGTGTTAAGTGGGATACGTCGTAGTATTTATAGCAGGGTATTAGAACTCACTGGGGAAGAAAGGTGAAAAAAATAAAAATAAAATTTGTCAATATCTATATATTGACTAATTTTATTATTATTTTTTAAGGATTTTTTGTAGATGCTTTTGCTAAAACAAAAAGTTGGTTGCACCACACAACTTTATCTACGTTTGACAAAAGGAATGCACTTTCCTTGTTTTTGCAAAATGTTTCATTGATGCTCTACTCCTATTTCCGGTATCGAGATGTTATATAGCCTATAGCCTTCATTGATAAATGGGCTATTGATCTAGAATAAAGTTTCTAAAATAATTTAATGAATTAACAGCTGATCGAATTTGTAATAAAATATTTAACTAAATATTTTTTTTCAAACATTATAAGGAAATCATTATGGTAGCTGGTAATTATCAAACTTACCACAATATTTCATTTGCTCGATTGAGAAACAGGCACTTTCTTAACAACTAATGGAGCAACGATTACGTTATTTTAAAATAACTTAATGAAGTGTACAAAAAAAAACCGTTTTGAACTATTGATCTGTAGATTGCAAATACCTGATCTGTTTGAGGTGTAAATTAATTTGATTATTATAAATCAATATTTATATTTAACCTTAAGAAAACAATTATAATTGTATTGAAAATAGCAAACCATGTGCAATGTTACGACGCTTATGATGTGACATTAAGATATACTATTAGAATTAGAATTTTATGCAATTTAAAATACTTGTACAAATATAAAAGCAGTATTAACAAAAAAATTGAAGATTACTTCAGAATCAATAAGTCATAATTTCTTCTTTTATCCCATTTATCATGGCCCTCCCTCCGAACTGTCGCATTTGACAAATTGGCGATAGCTTATTTAGTGTAAAAAATAGTTGCTTATGGGAGTATAAAAATGCCAATTTATCAGATTTGACAGTTATCAGTAAGAGTGAAGTTATAATGTGAATCCAATTATGATCATTGCTAAGAACTACTTTCGAGCTTAGCTTGGCGCCTTGAGCCTGAAGTGCTTTACGATCAGAAGGAACATTGAGTGGTCGTTTTGCAATTGAATATAAAAAACGAATTAAAGTGCACTTTGGCAGTTTAACAAATAGAGGAGAAAATAGCGCTGAACTGTTTTGACTACACTTGCTTTTCCTTTCGGTGTAATTGATTATTTTCTTAAAATATTTATTGGTTGGGATATCATATTATCTTTCTTTCATATACCTATGTATAGCTTTATCGTTTAAACAAAAATGTATTATTTATCGGAAATGAAAATATTGCCGAGCTAAGTGCTCGGAAATAGTACCTAAATGTATATATTATAGATAGATGTTGATTTCTGAAGTATGTCACATGTTGGATGAACAAATAAGTTAATCATCTATTCTTAGAAAAATGTGTCTATTTACATTCGTGTAACAACATACTATAACAAAATAATAAATTAAATCATCGATACAATAAATTCTTAGATATTAGTGTCCCTTTTTGAAGCCCCAATGCTTGTGGTCTTCGTGACCACCTTTTTTACCATGCCCGGCATGATGATGGTGGTGCTCGTGATGACCGCCCTCATCGTGGTGTCCCTTGTGCTCGTGGTGATGTCCTCCCTTTTCGTGGAAGCCCTTCTTGCCGTGATGGTGTTCATGATGGCCATGGTGTTTGTGTCCTTTATCAAAGTGCCCACCCTTCTTGTGTCCGTGTTCGTCGTGATGTCCACCATAACCTTCGTGGAATCCAGACTCTCCGTGTTTATCGTGGAAGTGTTTGTTCTTTTTAAATTCATCTAGTTTGTGGATGCCATGATGCCCTTTGGTGGAGTGACCTTTGTGAAAGTGTCCCTTTTCTTCGAAGCCATGACCCTTTTCACCTTTCTCGCCATGATGGTGGTGGTGATAGTGGCCATCGTCGTGGTGGTGATGTTTTTTGTGTCCACCGTGGTCTTCATGGTGGCCCTTGTGACCCTCATGGTGGTGGTGACCTTTTTTGCCGTGTTCATGGTGATGATGGCCTTTGTATCCCTTATGCCCTTTGCCTCCATGCTCGTGATGGTGGTGGTGATGATGTTCCTTGCCACCACCTTTTTCATGATGATGACCGGAAGCAGCGGTTTCGAGATCTGCGTCTCGTAAATCCCTGGCATGCGCAAGCGCAAGTAACGCTAAAGCGACGCTGCTCAGCACGAGAGCCGTCCTCATAGTTGTTCTATTCGTTTGCAGATCGTGATGAGATGTGGTACTTATTATGGTTTACAACAACGTTTTATAGACACTTTGTCTCCAGTTTTCTCGAACCTACATTGTGCAATTATTGCGACCGGCCCGGGTGCCTGCACTTACTTTATTGCCAAGGTCACGTGCCCTAGCGCTAATTTCAATTTTGATTAGAGTTTTATTATGAGTAGTGGTGATTTACTTTTGTTATGGTCAGTGACAATACTTTCATTAGCTTGCGTATGTTACAAAAATACTTAAACTGAATAAGCTTTGAATAAAACTTACTTCTATACAGATAGATACGCGTGAAAGCATCATCGCATATTATAATTTTGTTATTTATCAAACAAATTTCTAACCCACTGACAATAAGACATGAAATAATTACCTCTAAACCGCATAAGAATTGTGAGCAAATCAAAAATAGAATGTTTAACGTGTTACGAGTATTGCTATGACCTGAAAAGAATATAAAATTTATTAGCTTCACTTGTAACTTTCAAAGTCAATTTTAACGTTGTCTAATTGTCTTGTCAAAACTAAAGTTTGTGTGTATCTGTAGTTTAGAAGACATTGCTATAATTGATCTCATGATAGAGTCAAGTGATGGAGAGTAAAATTCACAAGTTTTAACTGTTAGAATTAATTTTGGGGAATCCAACAGATTGGGCTTGACAACGATGGCCTACTCACGAACCTTGATAGTAATACCTACCTACTCATGGTGGAATACTTTTAACTTCTTAAACCAATTAGAACATAACTTTTAATTTTATTAAATTTTATTTCATACTTCTTTTCACGTACTGTGGCTGTACTCTCATAAAATAACGTGTGAGTTTAAGAGTACAGGCATAGAACACATTTTGATTTTGATTAAGCAATAATGTTTTAATATTATTTATACTACTCCAAAAACAGGGATATTATGTTCATTATGTTTACCGATTTTGGTTAGCAGATTAACTGATTTGTATTATTGAACCCTTGATCAATTTATATGAAAACCAATGACCCGTCCCGGCCTCGTATGTGTAGGATATAACCCAACACTCGTTACTGCATGTTAATCTTAGGAGACAGAGATAGAGCGTAGCTATGTTTTAATAGATGTTTTTATGATTATTTATCTCTGTACCATAACGCATTGTTTGTGTAGTGTACACCAGTACACCTTTAAGTCGGTCATCTACCTCTTAATCTCTAATGAATTATTAACATTAATAACAAATCGTTTCAACACTTTTGTGTGATTATTGCCTTCAGACAGACATATGGGGTATGGGGAGTTTGTAATGTGTACTGATATATTTAGATCTTAGTCTGGATAAAGGTAAACCTGCGAGTTTTATGATCAAAGGTTACTATATTTGTGCCGTCGCTGTCTTAGCAATTACTCCATATTCACTTGCAAAATACTAGCACCGTAAATATTGTATTTGTTTATTCCATGCGCTTATCCGGCTATTTTAATATTAAAATGATGGTACATGACGTAATAAAAACTTCGAAAACAGCGTTAATAAAAAGAAATGATATTAGAGTGTACAACATTAGCATTACATCACAGTCAGTGTTTAACGAGGTTTAGCGTGGCCTGGTCGAAACGTTGGGTATTTCAAAACCTTGAATTATTACATCAAAATCATTATGTTTGTTCAGTAAAAATATTTTTGACATAGTTTTCATTAGCAATGAATAATAAAAAGTAAACTTAACATTGAAATATATTAGTAAATTTTAAGAAAAATACTTTCTTAGCTTTTTCTACATTAAATTTCTTGTACTTATTTCTATTCTTGTAAATATAATAAAAAAAAAAACTCGTGATTAGAGATAGGGCTGTTTATCGGACTGTCAAGGCAAGTGTTAGTACAGGTATTTATAAGAGAAACAAACAGGCAATATTTCTAGAAAATTGTTTCCGTAAGTTATTAACAAAACTACGATCCGAAGTAATATAAATCTGAAACTAGCTTTGCCTGTTACATTTTCACATAGTTTTATTTCTATTTTAATGGCTACCTCGACGATTTGTTTACCCTACGATAGTCTACGTCTGTGATAAAGACCGTAATTTTCTAGATTTGAAGGCTATCCACATTGACGCTTACTGAAAATACCCACTTTTAAACCATTCTGACTGAATACAAATTCAAAAGGGTTTATTAAGTTTCTGTGACCGACCTCTAAGTTGTACTTTCTAAGCGACTTTTCGGAAACTGTTTGCGTCTTTTTGAATAAGTACATAATATGAAATATAATAGCTAAAGGAATCGTCGTTACGCAATTTTTTTTCTTTTTACTTTTCTAACCGGGTTCACATAGTTATCTGGTATTCTTGTTAACCCCTGTAGCGAGGCTGATAAATTCTTTTGTTCGGAGTGGTTTCACATTGTTAGTGTACTGAGTATTAATCAAATCCGCAACTATTCGAATCTATAACTCATATTCGAAGATGTAATATTATATTTTATTCAAAGTAGGTAAGTACTGTTTTCATAAACTTGTGCTATATTTTTTTAAATTTTCTTTCTATTACATATGCACACTTGCCGCCTTTCTCGTGTAACAAAAACACAAACTCAAAATTTTATATATATGATTTAAAATTGAGCTTGAAATGACAACACACACCCATTTTTAATAAAATTTATTTTTTTGGTATAAAAAGGTAATAAAAACATTCAAAATCGACATATAAATAGATAACAACTCAGGTACAATTGACATCTTAGCCTTTATGATGCCAAGACTTATGGTCCTCATGACCACCCTTTTTGCCATGGTCATGATGATGATGGTGATGCTCATGGTGGCCTCCATCGCCATGATGCCCCTTGTGGTGATGGTGGTGACCGCCATGTTCATGGTGTCCCTTCTTGCCATGGTGGTGCTCGTGATGTCCGCCGTGTTTGTGACCGTGGTGGAAGTGACCGCCCTTCTTGTGTTCGCCCTCATGATGATGACCACCGTAATGTTCATGATGCCCTTTCTTCCCATGATGATCATGGAAATGTTTGTCTTTCTTGAATTCGTCGTGTTTGTCAATGCCATGATGTCCTTTCGTGTCGTGGCCTTTATGCCAGTGACCATGTTCTTCATGACCGTGACCGTGGTCACCTTTCTCGCCGTGATGGTGATGATGATCATAGCCTTCGTCGTGATGATGATGTTTCTTATGACCGCCGTGTTCACCGTGATGTCCTTTGTGTCCTTCGTGATGATGGTGGCCGTGTTTACCGTGATGGTGCTCATGGTGTCCTTTGTGTCCCTTATGGTGTTCACCGCCGTGGTCATGGTGATGGTGCCCATGATGTTCATGACCGCCTCCCTTGTCCCACTTACCTCCGTGATGGGAAGCGGCGGGCTCGAGATCAGCGTCTCGTTTTTCCCGGAGCTCCCTAGCGGAGCTGAGGGCAACGACGGCCAACAGGCCAAGCACGAATAGACTAGTTCTCATAGTTGATGAGATATGCCAGTAACTTCGTCAGCCAAAACGTTTTATAGATATAGCCTCTATTTTCTCGTTATGCATTAAGCAACGTTCAAGCTGGGTGCTTGCTCTTACTTTACTGTCAAGGTTAAATACCTGAGCACTGGCATTATGTTTATTGCAGTTTGTTCACTCTTTCGCTTCCGTTTCTTCCGGTCTTAACATTAGTTGATTTACAATGTTTTACTCTTTACAATGTGAATGTTACACGTTTTTTTTTTGCAAAATATATTTAAGAGTGTGAATGTACATAATCCCTACTAATATTATAAATGCGAAAGTAACTCTGTCTGTCTGTCTGTCTGTTACGTTTTCACGCCTAAACCGCTGAACCGATTTTGATGAAACTTGGTACAGAGATAGTCTAGAACCTGAGAAAGGACATAGGCTACTTTTTAATTCAAAAAAAGGGCTGTAAGGGGTGAAATAGGGGATGAAATTTTGTATGGCAATTACGTCATTTTTAAAGCTAGAAGCTTGAAACTTATTTTCTAGGCTTTTGATTAGATATAAATAAGTCGGACGCTTGAGATATCTACAATTTTGCGCTGCAACGAATTCGATGTCTTTACGTTTTCATCGTTTTTTAGGGTTTTTTGGATTAGCATTTTGTGTCATTTGCTTTGTTGTTTAGGTTGTAATGATTAGTTTAGCAAACGCATTTTTAATAAAAAAAAATTAGTTCCGGTATAGTTAATAGGTAAAATAAAATAGTTTCATTCATTTTTAGGATAGGTATAAATTAGTAGTAGATTAGTAGGCAGGTTTCTTGACAGTTTATTCACTTAAACTTTGCACAAGAGATGAGTTTGCAAGAACTCTTATGTATGCTGAGGTACCGAGGACACATGGGACGCAACCAGAAAAGCTTGGAAACGCTGAATTCAAGGAACTTCTGTTCAGAACTGGCCTGGTGTCAAATCTGGAGTGGCTTAAGGACGAGTTTATACGGTCCATGTTACCAACATGGAATGTTTTTGTTTAAGAATACTTCTACACCATGTACGTGGGCCAACCTCTTTCAATAATCTCAAAAATTACAATAATCAAGAATTTTCAACATTTCGAGAGGCATGTGAGGCAAGAGGATTGTTGGAGGATGACAATCATTGGAATATAACACTGGAAGAGGCTGCACAATGTAGATCAGCGGCCATGCTTTTTACTATACTAATAGCGACATGTGGGCTTCCAAACCCTCAACAACTGTGGGAAAAGTACAAAATTGAAATGTCAGACGATATTTTACACAGATTACAAGAACATAATTCGAACGTTACATACAATGATTTCATTTTTAATGAAGCCCTAACAAAGATAGAAGACCAAGTCATAACTATAACTGGGAAAGATTTGTCAGATTTTGGGATGAGCAGGCCGCAAAGAACTGGAGAAGTTTGCAGTGATATAGTAAGAGAATTGATTTACGATGCTGTATCTTTACAACAACACATAACAGAGGCTGTTCCACGTCTAAACCCAGAACAAAGATTAGTTTTTCAAAATGTTGTGCAAAAAATCGAAAATGGCGAAGGTGGTTTATTCTTTTTGGATGCACCAGGAGGCACGGGCAAAACATTTCTTTTAAATTTACTTTTAGACCAAATTCATAAAGATAAAGGAGTTGCTGTTGCTGTAGCCTCGCCTTAGGAATAGCTGCTTCGTTATTCAATGGTGGCCAAACGGCACATTCAGTACTTAAACTGCCATTGAACTTAGCTCATGAGGAAATTACAGTTTGTAACATTAATAAAAACAGTGACCGTGGACGAATGATACAGCAATGTAAGCTATTGGTTTGGGAGTAATGCACGATGTCCCACAAAAGAGCGATAGAAGCACTAGATCGGATCATAAAAGATATCAAGAGTAACCAAAGTATCATGGGTGGTATGGTGGTACTTTTAGCTGGCGATATTAGACAGACTCTGCCGGTAATTACTAGGGGCACGCCGGCAGATGAAATAAATGCATGTTTAAAAGCATCTCCATTATGGGTGCATGTAATTTTTTTTTGTCTAACTACAAATATGCGAGTACAACTCCATAGTGATGCTCAATTGGGGCAATATGCGGCTGCTCTTATCAAAATCGGAGAAGATCGTATAGAAACAAATAGTGACGGTATGATTACATTAAAACGTGAATTTTGTAATGTTGTCTGTAACATAGATGACTTAAAGAACAACGTCTATCCAGATCTTCCAACCAATATGAGGAACAGAGAATGGCTGTGTGAAAGAGCAATTTTAGCACCGACAAACGAAATAGTGGGGCAGATCAACGAACAAATCATGTCAGATGTGGAAGGTGATTTCGTTGAGTTTCTGTCCGTAGACAATGTCATGGACACTGAGCAAGTGACAACGTTCCCTGTAGAGTTTCTTAACTCCTTAGAATTATGGGGGGTGCCTTCCCATAAGTTGATGCTAAAAGTAGGTGTCCCGGTCCTGTTGATGCGAAATCTTGACGCACCAAGAATGTGTTGAAGGCACACGGCTTCAAATTAAACACCTGGGACGCAATATTGTGAGAACAATAACTATGACAGGAACAGCAAAGGGAGAAGAAGTATTAATTCCCCGTATTCCAATAATCCCTACCGATTTGCCATTCTAATTTAAAAGAGTACAGTTTCCCCTGAAAGCAGCATTCGCTATGACGATCAACAAAGCTCAAGGACAGACACTCAGAGTAGCTGGTGTACATTTGGAAAAAACCTTTTTCCCCATGGGCACTGTATGTGGCGTGCTCACGAGTATCGAGTCCACAAAACCTACATGTTTTGACCAAAGCAGGAAAAACAAAAAATGTTGTATACAAAAACGTGTTAAATTAAGTACTACCTACCTTATAAGTTGCCCCATGGTTTCACCCGCAAAAGTCAGGGATCGGGGTCTACCTAAAGTCTACCTATGTTACTCCTAATGATTCAATGTATCCTTATACCAGCTTCATTAAAATCGGTCCAGTAAAGTTTCAGAGCCTATTCATTACAAACAAATTTACCCGAAGTAGTAGTTCGACGCAGACGAAGTCGCGGGTAACAGCTAGTGTTTCTATATAATGTTCTTTTTCTACGTTACAGTAGGTAGGTAAAGGTTGATTACAAGGAATTATATTGTGTTCTATCTTTCATTTTCATCAGCACCCCAAAGAAAAGAGAAGAGTCGTAAGCACACACTTGACTGCATGGCGTTGTGGTTTAAAATAGGCGCTTACTGCGCTGAGTGTTTTGGGTTCGATCCACACATGGGACAACACTTTGTGTGATTTAAAAATTGCTGTTCTGAGTTTGGGTTTAGAATATATCCTGTGATATATTCCTAGTGCGGGAATTGCCCTTTATAAAAAGATAAAGAAAATACAATTTCGTGTTCTTCTTAAATATTAAACTCTAATTGTATAATATAGTTATAAAATTTCAGAAAAATACAATTCAAAATTAACTTATATGTACTATATATACAAAGAGAGTGACGAAATGGTCTGGGCCAAGAGGCACTAGAAATAGAGGCAGACCTAGCGCGAGATGGGTGGACGAAGTCGTGGAGACGGCGGGTCGTGATTGGTTCACAGTAGCTCACAACAAAGAAAAATGGCATGCCTTGGAGGAGGCTTTTACCCACAGGGGGTCCGCACAAATCTCTTAAATAAATATTTATACTTTTCAACCTTTTTTACCTTGTAATTTGTACGGAATCAAATAAAGCTTTTTATTATTATTATTATTATTATACTATATGGACTACTATGTATACATGGAGTACACCAAACACTAGTCTCATATGCGTAGCTAAGTCTAATAATAATATTACCTTAAATACAAGTAGTAATATCTTGAATACCTATTAAATTATAATTACTGAAATTACGCATGGCTGGCGACGTTGCGTCATATTGTGTGAATAAGGAATAAATATGGAAAATCAGAGGTTTAAATAATTGATCGTAAACTAAATATTAAATACATACCTTATCTATTATTACATTACTCGTATTTAACAGCCGATATAAAAAGGCTAATGAAGGGCACTATTTATGTTTGTGATTTTTCTAATGACCAATTAAACTAAATGACTAAAACTGGCAGACTTTACAAGAAACTCTAAATTTTAAATGTGCATGTACCCACATAAATTTTCCTCGCACATGTGAAAAAGTCAGCTGGTTTAAAAGAAACCTTTTTTACCCAGTAAGTTGTGAGTCGCTGTCCGTGTGGTGACGGATTAAGAATACAGAGTGTCACCACCCCTATTCATTCCGTGGGTGTCGTAAGAGGCGACTCAGGAAGCAAACTACGTAGAACAACAGCACTGCAAAGAGAAGGAAAACCTGAAACAAACCCTATACCAACCCGTCTGGCCAGCCTGGTATAGTAGGCCAAAACCACCTTTCTAAGGAACTAGCTAGCTGGCTATGAAATGCCTTTCAATCCTGAATATATCTGTTTTATTACGATAACGATTGAAAGTTTCTTAATTTTGTCACAGACTCGCCGTTTATATCATTATCATCCCCGATTAAAATTTTATTTCAAACAGAGTAACAAGCGTCAAATTTAGTACATAAGTGGTGTTAGGTCTATTTCACAAAAAACATACCACTTTCTTTATATACTAACTCCATAAATAGTTGTAGATCATGCTATTATTATTAATATTACGCCACTTACACCAATAAAGATAGGTAGGTACATGGTAGAGAAAGGTAAATACAGCATCATGGAATAAGTCTTTTAATATACGAACTTTCTAAGGGATTTCAGGTCCAGTCCGAAATTATAAATTAAACTTATTGCACACGTCAATATTTGTGTATGCTTATGTTAGTTTAGGTTCAACACCGATATGTTCCATTGGGATTATCGATAGAGATTTCTCATATTATGGTGACTATAAAATGTTGTTAGTTTTTTTTACCTTTAGCAATAATTAGGTTTCACAACTTTTTGCTGTAGAAGAATT